TTTGAAGACAGCACTAACCTTTAAGGACCTGGGTACTGAGCTGAGGTTGGCTCAGATGCTAAGCATACTCACGTCTGATGGCGTGGTAAGGAAGTCAGTGTGTAGGATCTCTGCCATGCACGTTGGTTTCTCCATGGCTTCCTCTTCTCAGCCCTAGGCAGATTGCAGTGAGAGCATGTGTTCTCATGTGCTCCTGGCTGCCTTCTTTCCCTTGTTTCTTTTCAGAGTAACCAGCGCGTCGACCTTTATAAGTGGAAAGATGGCAGCGGGGAAGTTGGCACAACCTTACAAGGCCACACTCGGGTCATCAGGTAGGCACCAGCCCTCCCCAGCTCCTGGCCTGTCTCACTTTGTCAGCGTCCCGTGGGAAATGAAATGAAGACACCATCCTCCTTCCATGGCTTGACCCTCTGTGTTGCGTTGGCCGCGGGTGGCTGCGGGTCCTTCGCGTTCATGGTAGTGATGGCCCTCACAGCGAAGAGCAACCAGGATTTAGGAACCAGCATTCGTGTAACCGCTAACCCTGATCCCAGGAGACACTCAGACAGGTACAGCCCAGTCTGGAGTGAAGGATTAGAGCCGATCTTTGCTGTAGGAGGGAGACACAGTTCTGCCAGCAGAATCGCTTCGCTCACAGTCGGCAGTGCCCGGGAGTACCGACGGTGGGATGCAGCCCTTTGCTCTTTCTCCAGCAGCTGTGGGGCACCACACAGAGCTCCTGCAGCAGAGTCCGTTATCCAGCTGCATGGTCGCCTCCTGCCTGTGGCCTTGGCCTCTGGAGTGTCCCTTGATCCATCCTGTCCTTAGGTCACTATTTCTGGCTGGGGAATACTCCTCCTGGGAAGTAGCAAGCAGGGAATGCAGGAGTGGGGATGCTGACCCAGGAAGTGCTGGGAAAGGCTAGACCCCCTGCCTGTGTTAATTGCGTAGGAACTGCCTTTCTAGGAGGGAGGACCTGGGTAGGGAGGACTTGCCTGTCTTGAAAGCTACATGGCAATGTGGCAGGTTGCCACTGCTTTAAGAGATGTTGGTTTTACTCAAGGGACCTGTGGTTGAATCTGATTTAGAGAATGGTAAGTCAAAAATTACTTCGTGTTTTTGCTCTGTGTGTGTGTGTGTGTGTGTGTGTGTGTGTGTGTGTGTGTGAAGTTAAATCTTCCATTGCTTTTTTGGGAGCAGGTGGCCGTATAGCTGGTGATGACAGGGGGAAGGACCTGAAAGTTTCCTTTGAAGCTCAGTTAAGTCTTGTTCATTCCCAAAGAAGTTTGGAGATTGCCGCCCTAAGTCATGTTAAGGAGTCCCATGAATGGTGACTTCTCTGAAGCCACAAGAAACCAAATCTGCTGGTGCTTTGGAACGGGACTCTGAGCTCTGAGCTTTTTCTCTTCGTTGTTGTTCTGTTTATTTCTCCTGTTCCCAGCGACTTGGACTGGGCCGTGTTTGAGCCAGATCTCCTGGTTACCAGCTCCGTGGACACCTACATCTACATTTGGGATATCAAGTAAGAACAATTAAAAGGCCAAACCACCAGGTTGTGGGATGATCTAGGACCTTTGTTTTAGAGATCAGGGATCTTAGTGTGGTTTCCCCTCGATGCAGACTCTGAGTTGAGGATACATGGCAAGCACATTGTTTAGGAGGTGACAGAAATGCTGGTGGGGGATGGAGAAGAGAGACAGGACTGGGAAGGCTACAGGTAGGGGGCGTGTTATCCACTGTAGGTACCACTGTGAACAAGTGGCGCTTATTCCTACTGGGGACTGCTAGGTGCTAGTGCAGAACTCCCTCCTCAGAGGTGTCCCACCCTCGAGGGCTAAGGAAGTGGGGGTGCCATCCTCTGTCAGTCATTGGTTGAAGCCTGCCCCCTGGGACCTCCCTTCCCTGGCACCTTGGGCCCGTCACAGAGGTGTGCAAAGCAGGCCTCAGCAAGCAGGGGAATCCCTCTGGCAGAGAAACAGAGGTGCTGGTGTTTGGAAGTCAGGCGGAAGTTTAACTGAAGTGACAGGTGACAGTGGGGGGGGGTTGATGGGTACAGACACACATTGCTACAGCAGGCAGTGAGTGCTCGAAGGCCCATCTGCTTTGCTCTTGGTGAGGCTTCCATCCCCCGCCGGTAAGCGCCACTGAGAGCCACCTCTCAGGGTTACTCCTCCTGGAAGTGACGAGCGAAGGAGCACCCGGCCCAGGGCCTGGCCTGTCGTAAGTTCTTTTTTTTTTTAAAGGTTTTATTTATTTATTTGACA